GTTCTCCCACAACTAGTGTGGTTGGGAGACTTCAATGTGCCTTCCCAGGGTGAAGGGTCTGGAGCAGCATAGGAAAACATGGCTGCCATGATAGTCATTGACCTGCCCCCATTTACAGTATAGAGCCAAACGGAGATCAGAGTTACACATTAACTGTTTTTGCAAAATGATCTGAAAGGTGGAGAAAACCGAGCTTAGTCCCTTGTCATGAACAAACCATTATCTCTGTTTGTTCTACAATGGAAAAGAACCTTTTAGATTAATGTTCCTCATATACCTATTGAATCCAGTGGTTTTCAGAAGGTACTTGGGGAGTTTCCTGAAGATCTGTGGGCAGTTTGGTCAAAATCGTGATTGGCCACAGCAATAAGGAGGCAGCTAAGAGATTAAACCAATTATATCAGAGTAGCCTCTCCCCACTCACAGATCCACTACAGCTGCTCAGTTTCCTGAAGAATTTAGGGAAATGAAGAAAGGGGAGCAGCTTAGGGCATCGCTAGAGAAAGTCCCACCTCATATCTTACCTGTCAGATTAGTGTTCAAATCTTAGTGGTGTTGGTGATTCATAGTGGGGATTCAAGGGGCAAAAAGGTGTTTTCTCATTTTATTCTTTATGTCTTCTGAATGCTGCTCAGGGGCTTTTTGAAAGATGACTTGTTCCCTTTTGATGATTAGGTGGCATCAAGCTGATTAGCAACCACATAGATAATATTTTTTTATGAAGATCTGTCCTCAACTTGATCCTTCAGTGATGTTCTTATTACCATTATATTCACCTTGCTGCTGGACATCCTCTTTTTTTCCACTTTTCCCAGAATTGTAAATTTCTCAAAAGAGAAGTGACAAAGTACAATAATTTGAGCACAGTAAGTTGTGCCTCAAGTAAGAACAGATTAATTAGTCCTATGATCCATTTGTTTTTTTTTTTCATGTCATGATTCCATGGAATTTCATGGAACCACGAAATTCTCAAAAGTCTCCTATAACTCCAAAATCATTCATTTTCCCTCTTCATTTGTTTCCCTGTCATTTTAAAAATAATAAAATAAAAATAAAGTCATTTCCCTTTTAGAGAAAGACAATATTCAAGAACATCTGAAGGATCACTCTAAAGAAATTTCACAGCATTTGGCAAATAAAATCAGTTAGATTCAAACAGAGTTGGATTCTAGCTGGACAGTGTTAATGAAGACGACTGGGGCTTTACTTTTGAAAGTGATCTGTGATTGATCACAGATGTATCTGAAGACTTTCAACATGGAGGGGTAGGATGGAGGGAGGGATAGACTAACTAAATTCCTCCAAGGCAGAGTAGTTTTGGGTTTTTGGACCTAACCATTCTAAAGAAATGTCATCTTTGACTCTGAATGAAGTTCTGGACATTTTTATCACTACATCCATACATGTAACAGAATTACAGAATAACAAATTCCCTCCTCTCAGAGATCTGGTATTTATTTCCTTTTGGATTTCAGGACAGTACTTAAGACCTGGTTGTTCCATCCAGCACAGGAGAAGTGCTTGTTGTAAATGAAGTCTGGTAGGTACATTATTTTGTATTTTTCATGTTTATTATTTTGATGTTGTTTTTATTCATATTGTGCATTAGTTGTGGGGTGTTGTTGTTGTTTTGTCATCAATATTGATGTTAGCCATCAAAGCCTCTGGGAATGGGAGATATACAAATACAGTAAATAAATAAATGACAGAAGCATTCTGGCTCCAACTGCACATACTTCTGTGGTTCCTTGGCTTTTCTTTCTTTGTTTATGCAAAGTAACCTAGGCAGACTACAGTTGGAAAAGAAGAAAAATGGAAGGAAAGAAGCTGCTTAACCTTTTCCAGTTTAAGATCACTTTATCCAAATTGCATTCTAATCTATATAGATCAAGATACAGGAATTGTGTAGGCTTCTGTTTCTTTTTAAAGCTATAAAACACATAGCTTGCAGATAACAATTCTGAGATGGAAAACAAATAAAGAATATTGCTAGTTAGTCAGTCTTCAGCTGTAACCTGCCTTCAGCTAGTTAACTCTTTTTTAAAAATGGAGAAGAAAATATCACATAATTCTTCATAATGTATAGTTTGATTTGACTTTTACAAAAATCTTTTAGAAGTCACACTACTTCTTGTCTTTGCCTAGGCAGAATATTTTGCTGGGAACCACAAGGAATGTTAGGAATTCCAGAAATGTTCATCATAGAACAAGAACCTGTGCCACACACACAGCATGGCATTTCCCACTTTGTCCTTCTCAGAAACTGTGATCTCTCTCCCATACCACCTGACTTAAAAGAGAAATACCTTACCCCCTCAATTCCCCATTTTTCCACTTCTAAGATGAAATTGGCCTGGTTTACATCTTCTTATTTGTATTCACCATGTTTTTCATTGTATCTTTTCTTCATGAAGACAAACATCCTAGCCTTTTTGAATAACAGGCTTCTTGTTATTAATTATTTCATCAGGACTACTTTTTTTTTCAAAATTAAAGCAGAATATCCTCAGAAAGTGACTGTATGTATGTCAAATATATGTAGAATATAGATTGGATTTGCACAATTTGTTGAGGGGAAAATGCCACAGTGACACATTAAAAATACTTATGGGCTGCAAAGAAATACCTGAAGTGCCATTCAGCTGTTCCACAACTAGCTGGAGCTGGTGGATGGCAGTGAGGCTTGGAGGTACTTGGCAGCATAACTTCTGGCACAGTGGCAGCAGCGGTTTACCTTTTAAAAAACATTGGCGAGCCACATAAGACTGCTTGGTATGCTGTATGAAACCCACGTACCATGTGTTGTGCAGGCCTGGTATAAATGATGGTCTTGATACAGAGAGGGAAGATCTGGTTTTCTTGCTGGATCTAATGGACAAACAACTACTGTAGAAAAGACTTATGAACAATTATTTTTGTTACACAGTAACGACATAAAGATGGAAAGAGTCTGAAATACCTAAAATGGAAGAATGATAGGTGAAAAAGCCAATTTACAAACAGGGCAAAATTGACCTATTTAATTAGAGAAAAGAAAATAAGTATGTTTGTCAATGACTGGAAACCCTTTATGGATTTTTTGCTGAAAATAGAAAAAAATTGTACTTGTGATTAATGAATTGGATGAGTAGAAAATGTAGCTTATGGAAAAAAGAAGTTATGATGTAACGAGAGAGAGAAAAGGAGAGAGAAAGAGGGAGGGAGAGATGATAAAACTTAAATGCATTGTAACTGCCGTAAAAAAGATTGGAAGACATTTAGTTTTTCTATTTCTCTCTCTTTTTCTTTCATTTCTTTATTCTTTTCTCACCACTTTTCTTTTACTTTCCTTTATTTTCTTTTTTATATTTTTATTCTGTAAAAATTTTTTCAATAAAAATAAAACAAGAGAAAGAAGGAAGACCCATTACCAACCCATCAAACAGGTAAACATGGCTTAAGTCATATGAAGATAGGGATTCAGGAAGACAGGTGCGCCCCCCCCCCCAATTCACATGAAGAGGGATGAGGGGAAGCACATTCAGACTTGCAAGATTTTGTTCCTTTGCTATCCCACTAAAACTACTTTTGGGCTTACTCACCATCTGCCTCTTGATTGGTCTACCTTGTAGAGCTGACAGCATATTACCTATATTAAAATAGATTTTATATTTCTATGAGCTATTCCTCATGGAGAAAATCCAAATTTGCTAAGAGTGGACACCAATTTAATGGCATATAATCTGCTATTTTAGAAAAAGGAGGAGGAGGAGATGTCTTAAAGATCAATATTCTATACATATAGAAGTTCTCAAAAACAGGAAAAATAACAGTCAAGTCTATCATATGGCAAATTGGTGAAGATCAGAGAAATATCAGTAAAATGAGATCAGTCATAAAATTCATTAATATAATGTCTTTCCCCATCCAGAACTTTGGACTGGCTAATGTGTTATTATAAAATAATGTTCAATATATCTTCTTCTGAATTGAATCTAGTTAATGTCTGGTTACACCAACTAGCTGTTTTGTGCTTAGTCTCTCTGAAATCTATATCCAGTTCTAGTAGATATTAACAAGTGACATGACTGGCGAAGACTCAAACTAGTGAATTAAAAATCGGTTGAATCATTTCTTTAGGCTAAGCTTTTCTTAAATTGAATATACTACTAAATGAAATCAGGGTTCATTAAAGACCATCTTCTCAAAATAGAATAAAGCTGTCCAATACAAAAATCTTGGGATAAATTGCTTGTAATCCCCCAAGACATTTCCTTATCACGGAAAAGCTTCCCTAAAATTAGATTTACCTCAACTTTGTAAGCATTGTCTAATCAGAAAAAAACATTCTGAACAACTTTTTTTAATTGGTTGGATAACAACACTGGAATTTTGCATACTGTATATTTATACATACATTGCTCCACTTTAGCTTAGGTTGGTTGAATTTTTTTCATCTTTGCATTATTCTATTCTATGTATTTTACCATGGAAATGTTATGTTGTAGCACATATTGTCAGGGTTCCAAGTAACACCGTCAACTAAGTAAGACTCTGAGGCAGGCATTTTCTCAAAGTTCCATTTTATTAGATATGTCATATTGGCACATCTGGGAAAACCCGAATCTGAAGTCTCCCGGGTTTTCCCCACCCCGAAGGAAATCCAAGTCCCTTCCCCTGCACCCACATGTCCAACACATGGTCCAATCAGGCCACCATCCGAACCGGAGTAGCTTCCCAGTCACGCCTCTCCAGGTGCAGGTTGAACGTCCTTGATTCTCAGTAAAAGAATGTTGCTGTTGTTATGGTTATACATCTCACCCTGTCGCCATCCAACCCCTCTCCCAGTTCCCACAATATGCCCATTCGTTAAGTGTGGCAGCTTAAAGATCCAAAGAAAAAAATGGCCTCCAGGGCTGATACATGTTATATGACTGCATTAGTATAAAATCAGAGGGAAAATCAGATTGATCTCCCTTCTTTCCATAAACAAGGAAACTGGTAGATTGCAATATACTTACTATTCAGTGAAGAATCTGGCAATGCCATATTGACCAATATCTTCCTTGCTTTCTAGTAGCTGACTCACTGCATCTTCCATATAAGTAATGACGTGCCTTTGGGCTGAAATTAAGAGTAGAATTTGTTATCCTGTAAATGTCTTATCACATGTGTCTTTCTGTTAATCCAATTAGAACAATTAAAAATTTAAAGACTTAAACCTTTTGTTATGCTTCTTACATCCTGGAACTGAAAAGCATATACACTGACTTTGTTCACACATTTTAGTATTCCTTAAGTTAGTTTTTTGGGTTTGGATTTAACATATCATATTAATTCAGGCACTGAATATTATAACTCATGACTGATGTTATAACAAATTATTTGACTGTGAATTATTAAATAAACCATATAAGCCCCCTAAAGTTGTCTCCAGACAAGTTGGACAGCATAAGTCGAATAAATAAACAAATAGGCAAACTCTGTGTGTACACAACCACAGGTGTACAATCTTATGCTATCATCTTAATGAAATGTGTCCCTGAAAAGTGTACTATATCTGAAATCCTGAAATTTGATCACATTTTCTTCACATCATTAAAACAATTCTAAGGTCAGGGATACATGTTTGTGTGTTATATAATGGTAGCAAAAATTATATCATAAGTGAAGAATTTATTATATTTTGTATCTGTCAGCTACTACGGGAAAAACAAATGAAATAAAAATAAAATTTTAGATACAATTATGTATTGGGCTAAGCAGACTCTTAATATATTAATGTTCAGTTATGCAACAAAATATCCTACTACAACCTTCCAGAGAGTGAGGTCACTTCTTACAGAACTTCAAACTTATTATTTCACAATCAAAATTGGACCCGCTTACATTCTGAACCTGCCATTTTAGAAGTGTGACCCTCAATAAGTCACACAAAACCTATTGCAATTCTTGAGCCAATTTAAGTTGGGCATCCATTTTAAATAGACTGAATGAAGTCCTTTATTAAGATTAACAGGATAACAGAGCTGGAAGGGACCTTGGAAGGGACCTAGCCCAACCCCTTGCTCAAGTAGGAGACCCAATACAATTCTGGGCAAATGACTGTCCAATTTCTTCTTAAAAACTTCCAGTGATGGATGGAACACCCACAACTTCTTGAGGCAAGCCATTTCACTGGTTAATCGTTCTCACTGACAGGACATTTCTCCTTAATTCTAGCTTGGATCTCTTTTTGTTAAGCTTCACCAGCTGTTTTGAAAGAATTAGACACAGAGTTTTAGTACAAATATTTTAGGATAGCAGATATATCCTCCTAAAATACCTCCAAAACATGTTTTTTCTCATGGTCTCCAACATACATCAAAATGACAAGCAAAGAAGTTGAGACATTAGAATCAAATAGTTCATAAACAAAGCTGTACATTTTCAAGTGTGCTGGGATAAGAGTCATTGCAACTGGACAAAGGACACAGTTCATTTATAAGTTTCATAAGTTGATGAAATGCTTTAACAATCTTGCTGCTTTAACAAAAATAAATGACTACATAAACAGAGTAATATTCACAGGAAAAAAACTGCCATTTGGCCACTTTGATGCCAATTGCTGATTGAAAACTTTTCCCACACAGCTTTCTACTAACATTACATTAGCCACACACAATAAAATTCCCCTCCAAAATACTCTACAGCAGGGGTGTCAAACTCATATTGTCACGGCAGCATCACATGATGTATCAGGACTTTTTCCCCCTTTGGTAAACTGGGTGTGGGTGTGGCCAGAGCTGATGCATCTGGCCCACAGGCCGGGAGTTTGACAGCCCTGCTCTAGGGCTCTAGGGAGGTAAGTTTTTATTTGCATATTTTGAATAGTATCAAGACATGGTCAAACAATAGGTGTGCAGTCAGATAGTTCAAGATCTGATAAAGTGATTGATTGATTTTTCAGTAGATTTTTTTATCTTGGTTGTCAGTATATATATATATATAGGTAAGCTACCTAGATTTACATTGGATACTGAATTGTACCGTGGCACACAGAATTTCACTTTCCACATTTGGAAATGTCATATCTTTGTGGAATGACATTCAAAATTTACAAGTAATTCTATTTAATCACAACATAATGTAGCTGGTTCAGTCACCCCAGAAAAGTCAGAAGCATGACAGTTACTAGGATTATTCATCAAAAAAACACTATGCAGCTGCTTTTATTTTCTTGGTGAATTTCTTTTTTGTTGTTTTGTTTCTTTGGATAGATGAAATAAAAGAAAAGTGGGTTACTAATGAGAAATTGTGAAATATCTGGATACACCACTCCAGAATTCTATAAAGAGACAGATTAATACAGCTTCATCAGAAAGTACCCAAATTCTACATACTATTTGCACTGATGTTTCCTTGTAATGAAGTAGAATAGCAACATATAGGACTATACTCCATAAACAGTGTCATGAAAAAGCAACAGCCTTATTATTTCAAGTTATTGGAAAATGCATTCCAGAAGCAAAGGAATATCCCTTCATTTTACATTACTTTAAATGTAATGAGTGCCATTGAGGATAAACTTTCAAAAGAAAATAGCACAAGGAAAATACTACTATATTTCTTCCTTTCTATAGTATGAATAACTGCCTCTCCATCTCTCTATTTCAGACTTCTTGACTTGTACACGGTCCACTTTATCAAATAAATCAAGTGCTGATCCAGTGATTGCGACAGGAATTGACCAATCGGCTTGTCTCTCAAGCCTGATGTTAGAGCTAAAAGTCAGTGACTGATCCAAAGTCACCCAGTCAGCTAAGGTAGGACTTGAACTCACAGTCTTCTGGTTTCTGGCCTGATGCCTTAATTACTAGACCAAACGGGCTCTCTAGCAACTCACCCACATACAGTACCTATTTTGTTCATCCTGATGAAAGTGATAAGATGGGAAGGGAGGACAAACCCAGGAGAAGTGTCTAGAAAACATGACTTGCTACTGGGCATCATTATTATTAAAACTTTGCATAGATTCTGATTGCTATCAGGTTTTTATTTTGTTTGTTTGTTTTCAACCTAGAACATTATTTAATACAAAAGTGGGTAAAACACACCCTGGAAAATACCTTGCGGCCAACAACAAGGTTGTCAGCCAGAGGTTCAAAGATATTATCTGGTAATAAAAGATATAGGGTGTAGTTTTATTTAATTATTTTAATGCAAAAGAATAAATGTTAATTTATGTGAGTGATTAAAGAAAAATAACTCTGCGCACCTGTATCGCCTCAGGGAAGAACGACTAATGCAATTCAGTCAGTCACACTCCAAAGTTAACAGCAACCAGGTTATTTTCATCCTTGCCTTGCCCCTCCCACCCTTTTCTCCTCATGTCCAAATTCTATGCTCAGTAATTCCAGAAATTATTCTACCTAGAGACAGTGTTTACCAAATTAAAAAACAAACTGGCAATAATTGTCCACATTTCTGACATCTATTAGGATTTTTTCTCTCCTCACAATGGGAAGATAAACACACACACACACTTTAGGTGGGGGGTGGGGGGGGAGAGGGAGGAATGTTTTGGCCTAGCTCTTTGCCTAAGTTCTGAGTTCTGAATATTAGTGAACAGTTGGGAGAACAAGCTCCTTGGCCAGTTAGCAATAAAGCCAGGAAATGAGATCCTTGACACATTCAGCGTCCCAGGCTGGGGAACATAGCCATGTTTTTAGGACCTTACAAAAGGCTAGCAGGGTTGGGGACATTCTGACTTCCAAAGGGAAAATGTTCCATAGAGCAGGGGCCACTATTGAAAAAAGCTTGTCTTCTGGTCCCTGCCAACCAACATTCTTTGGCAGACAGGATTTGCAAGTATGCCCATTCTGCTTGACCTGGTTGGACGAGTAGAGACTCTTGAAAAAAGGCGATCCCTCAGGTATCCATACAAGTATGCTATATATATAGTGCACTTGGCTTCTCAATAAAACCAGAGTGCCTCATGATAGCCTCTTTTATAAGTGATAAAATATAAACTAGATGCTATTGGATGCACTCACAGTTAGTTCAGCAAAGGCACATAAATTGTGCTCATTAATGGCTCTACTTCAGGCATAGGGCTCTGTCTTGGGCCCTTGTTTTTCAATGTTTTAATTAAGTACTTGGAAGAGGAAGATGAGGGAATATTTACTGGGTTTGCAAATGACACAAAGTTGGGAGGAGTGGCTAATACTTTAAATGAAACACAGAAAATTTAGAAAGATCTAAGGCTTGAGTGGTGGGCTGATATGAATAGGATGGAATTTAATAGAGACAAGTGTAAAAAATTGCACCTGGCTGGGGAAAAAGGTACAAGTATAGGATGGAAGAGATTTGGCTTGGCAAAAATACTTGTAATTCACAAGGACACCTAGCTTCTTTTCACAAGCCAGCAGCATGAAGCAGCTGCTGAAAAGATAAATGCTAACTTGAGATGCACTAACAGGAACAGAGACTTTAGTTTACAGGGAAGGAAGTGCTGGTAAACATATCCTTGAGAAAGGGGTGATCCTGTCAACATTTATAGAAGTAGTGGTCTGACCCCTCCAGAAAAAGCCATCACTAAACCCCCACTTCCTAGACAATTTTTGTCCTGTCTCTACCTTTCCCATTTTAGGGAAGATTGTTGAGAAAGTTGTCACAGTTCTGCTACATAAAATCTTGAAGGAAACAGATTATCTGGACCTCTGGACCCTTCACTCATCCACTTGTGGATGACCTCTGGCAAGAGCAAAACAGGAGTAGTGTACCTGTCCTTGCTCTTTTTGACTTTTCAGCAGGTTTCAATACCACAGAACATAGTATCCTTCTGGACTGGCTTCAGTGGTTAGGTAGACGGAGCTCAGTTTTGTGCTAGTTTTTCTTCCTCCAGGTAGGTTCTAATCAGTGTTTTGAAGGGAGCTCCTGCTTGTGGAATAGCAATAGCAATAGCATTTAGACTCGTATACCACTTCAAGGTGCTTTACAGGCCTCTTTAAGCAAACAACAAAAAATCCTCAAAGGACAACTTCAATGGACCAGGTCTTTTTTCTGCCATCAATTTTCTATGTTTTTCTCTTTCTATATTGTAGTTTTGTAATATAATTAAATGGATTTCCATTAAGATTTTG